AGGAAAGCAGGATCCCTTTCTTCTGATTTGTTTGGGATGTACTGGGTAATGCTTTAAGGATCATCGCCCATCTCTTCACAAATAATTTACAAAGTTGGTTTCTCGAACTTGAACACAGATGAAACATACAGAGTATAGTGAAAGCATTGGCTGACACCATGAATGAACTTAAGCGAAAATAAAAGTCTCAAAGTTATAAATCCATCCATTCTCCCACCGGCCGTGGTTTGAAAAAAGAAAACAAGACAGATTGGGTTCTATAGCGTTGGATGGCAACCGTCTATAGAAGAAATAAACAGTAACCCCCTGCGGGGAACTTTTCTGCTGAGTCACTCATGAATCGAAAGAAACATGATCGGCCAAGTGTCTATCACGTATACCACTTAATTGAAAATCATGAAGCAATCATTACAAAGAGAGAAGTATAGTAAAATTCCCAGAGCGATTCTGTGGATAAGGCAAATTGTTATAAGAATGACAATAGGTAAAAAAAAAAATCTTTTTCGCGTTTCGTTTTCCGACTTTATTAATTCACTAAATTACATTAAATCCAAATTTTAAAAAGAGAGAGACGCTTTTGCGTCAGCCTCTTTCTGGATAGTATTAAATTCTTTTATACTAAGAGTTTTTTTTCTATATTATCTACTTAGAAAAAAGAAAAAAAAAAAAGGCAAAGTATAAAGGAAGTTAATATTAGCCAGAAAGAGGCTTACGCAAAAGCGTCTCTTTCTTTTTCAATTTTGGATTAAATGTAACTATGAAAAAAAATCGTTTTCATTTGTTTCCTTGATAATGTCAGAAAACGAAACGCGTCGTCAAAAACTAAGATTTTGTTCCAATTGTCAGTCTTATACCGAAGAGAATAGTGCAAATTTGGTGAAGAAGTACATGAAAACTGATGCAAGAACAATAGGAACAATAACATTTAGTAATGGGTATAGAACTACACTGTTTGCACACAGGACAATTTTTGTTTGCAAATATCAAGAAATATTAAAGGAAGATGGTACAATGATTTGAACCGGTATTGTAGATGCTGGACAAGAAATGTTTGAGTGGTACAAATCGGAAAGAAAAGAAAAAGTATTTGAGCGATATTATATTAATGGAAAACAATTTTCATTCAATATGCAGCGCAACGTTGAATATTGTCCAATTTGGCAAAAATATTTTAAAAGAAACACAATTAGTGAAATGCGTCACAGATATTAATAAAATGGAAACGATGTGTGACTTCGTTAAAATAGATCTATGAGAATAAAAAAAAAACATGTTCGAGCAATGATATCTAAGAAAATAATAAAAACGATCCTAGCAAGGTTAAATATGAAACAGTAGATAATTTACTTATCTCAAAAGAGGACATATATCTAATGTCAACGAGTGCAGGGTAATAAGTAAAATAAAATAATTTGTTTTGCTTAAATGCGATACGGTGATCATTAGATATATGTATATTTTGAATATGTTTTTTTAATTCATATACATTGAAATAGATGAGTCTTTTAATAATTTCACGCCATAAAAGGAAGTAAAGCCACAAAGACACAAGTGGTTAATGAGTGTAAACGAATAAGAAAAAAAGAACATTATCAAAAAGAGCGAACAATTGAAGAGTAATCAACAGTAGAAAAAACTAGATAACGATTGACTTTGTAGCTAAATTATTGAAGATCAAAGTTAACTGGAAAGTGAGAAGTGCGTGAAAGGAAACCATTAGCGTAGAACTTAGGGTTACATCTTTTAACTGCCAACAAATGAGATCTTGAACGCCATTCTTGAACTGCGCTCAAGTTCATAGAGTCTAGGTTCAATAGAAGAAAATGCATCAAAACAATTACAGCGGTGAGAAAGTGAGTGAAACGGAACTGCCAGATTAGGATCAATAATATTGCTGATTCTTTTCTGGATCTTATCCAGGATCTCTAAATATATAGCAGGAGAACCATGCCGTAGGTAACAGAAATATCCCAAACGTGGACGAATTGTAGTAGATATATAAATATGGAAATAGATTCGGGTGAGATTAATTCTCTAGCAGGAAATTGATATAAATAAACTATGAACACGATCATAATGTGCTGACCGTGTTTAAAACATATAAGAAACAAAAAAATTCCTATAACTCAAGATACAAAAATAAATGATTCATTCCTTCATTTAAAAAAAAAAGAGCAAGTAATGTATTTTCTTATTTCGATAATATTTCATTTTACTTTATTTTCTGTTGTTAAACGTGTTTGAGAACACACACACACATCTGTTTATATACTAAATATTAGTATTAGATTCAACCGGCACACATCATCGAATTTCTTATTAATGAATGGTACATTTTCGTCAATAAGAAATTTAATAATCTCGGCCGCAAAAATTTAATCTCACTTTTTGTAAATAAATAAGAATGTTGAATTTAAAACATGTAGCATACTGAACAAAAGTTTATTGTTATTTAATATATTCATATAATAATAATAATGACAACAGCATCAACAACAAGTAGTAGTAGTAGTAGAAGTAGAAGAAGAAGAAGTAGTAGTAGTAGTAGTAGTAGTAGAAGAAGAAGAAGAAGAAGAAGAAGAAGAAGAAGAAGAAGAAGAAGAAGAAGAAGAAATTACCTAACACACAAACTGAAAAAAAAAAATTGTTAACCAGAAATGCAGATTCAGTGATAAATATCCAGAAATAATTGGACATCTTTTATGAAGGCTGGACGGTGGGAGCAACCACTGAATATAAAACTCGGCATGATAATGTGGGCCAATAGTTGACCTGACAAATATGCAACTTTTTCCGGGAATGAAATTGGAAGCACCTGATATCAACGTCACCTAGTTCCGGTTACAAAGAAATGTCATTTAATAAATTTATGGGACTTAACCGTACACATCAACCAAACCTAACCACCCAGACATCGTGATGAAAGATCACAAAAACAAAACCCGCTTTCTTATTGACACAGTATTGGACATTCTTATTGTGCAGATTATAAATGTATGACAACAACAACAACAACAACAACAACAACAATAATAATAATAATAATAATAATAATGCTTGTTAACTAGGAATTATCAAGCACAGATACTAAAATATTGTGTTAGCCCAAAATGCAGATTCTGTGATAAATATACAGAAAGGATTGATCATCTTGTATC